AGCAAAAACGACCCAATTTTTTGGGTTATTTATCTAGATTCAGCTCCACGTACATCTAGATGCACGTGGACCTGAATCTAGATAAATAACCCAAAAAATTGGGTCGTTTTTGCTTGGGTCAGAAAATGAGTAGAAATTCGAATTAGATACTACAGTGACGCTTTAAATCGTAGAATGTCATTAGAGTTTTTCTGCTTGCCATTTCAAAAATGAGTAAAATACACGCTCTATATTGTTCAACAAAATTATTTTACTTTCAAATAATAAACTGGAATTGTCTATAAAATATGTGTACAACAATTGAAAATGTAACAAAAATACAAAAATTCCCAAAATACTAAGTGTAACTGTTACTTTTGTGAAGAGTTATTGCATTTTTACTAAAAATAGGATGGGGGTGCAATCTTTTCGATTATAACTCGACTACTATTTTTTACCGTAGGTGTACATGATTATACTTTTGCACGATTATAATGCACAAGAGTTGCAGAAAATATGGTAGAACGAATGATTCTTAGTTATTCATACTCATCGCCCTATACTAGGGATGACCGAGTACGAGTAAATACTCGAGTACAAATTTTTAGATATTCGTACTCACGACTTTTTTTAATGTATACTCGGAAAAAGTATTCGAGTACTCGGATGAAAACCTGTTTAACTAAATAGAAAAGGAATTCAGAAGAGGTTGATCGGTATACTATCATCACACGAAAAGTTTTCCGACCACAATCTTGATTTTTTTTTAAAAATTTGTACTCGAGTAAAACTGTTTTGTACACCTGCCACTAAATAGTCATACTTGAAAAGTGTGTACTCGCTCACTTTTGCCCTATACACGTTAAATTAGTGTGTACTCATTCTCAATGGAGCTATGCAATCACATACAATAGTTTTCGTTAAACTTTAGGAAACTTGAACTTTACGGTATAGATAGAGAAAAGTCGTGACTACATTTTAATAATAAATAAGTCTAGATCCACTCACACTAGCTTCGAAATTCCAAGTTATGAAAACATAGTGAAAAGCTTTAAAGATACGAATAAATGAATAGCATAAATTAAATCCGAGTTTTTCTTACGAAAGCTTTTTATAGTGCGTAGAGTAATATCAATGGCGCAACGATTTCAGTTTAAAAGGTCATACTAATTTAGAATCGAAGCGCACATCTAAGAACAGAGAGAGAGAGAGAGAAACATTGTTTAAACGGAAAAAGAAAGATGTATAAAGAAAAAAAGAAAGTATTTATAAAAGTGCGTATATGTAAAGAAGACAAGAAGTTATCAAAAACCTAATTTTTCACTATTAAAAAAATTTAAACTGACTCCTTTCTTATTTAACTCATCGTTGTTATTATTGTTATTCTTGAAATATGCAATTCTGCCTCGACCTTTACATATCATCTTCAAGAATAAACGTGAAAATATTCAAGTTTCTGATGGAAAATGAATTGGGAATGTGAACAATTTTCTATCAAAAGTTAAATACTTATACTTGATGTCGATTTTACGAGCAATGATATCTCTATTTTCTGTTAAAAGTGTAAGATGGTATATTTAATTATTCATGATCTAATACAGCGCGCGCCTTCTTATTTCTCTTCGTTCAATGTAAACTGTCTATTATGCGCGTTGCATAATAATGTCTGCTGATAATATTCTCAATCGTCTTACACAAGAAGATGAAAATAAACAAAATTTAAATATAAAAAGCAATGATAATAATAATGCTAGAAATATGACATCTGAAAATGATATATTAGTTAAATTGCCATCACTTCAGGAAAAAGTGTCACTAAAATATTTTCAACAAAATGCACAGTTAAAATATCGTCTCAATCAACAACTAAAAACATTTGGTGGTGATCTAGCAAAGTTATCATTATCTATTAACGATATCAATGAAGAAATTAGAAAACTAAAAGATAACTATACACAAATAGGTAACATAATGATGATAATATACTCAGTATTCATTCTATGATTGATACTAAACAGCATGTGATTTCATAATATTAACACGTAAAGTTTCTATCGAAATGAGATTGAAAACTCTTCGAGAAACTAGAACTTTATAAAAAAGTACTTTTGAAATATTTAATATAGTTCATAAAAATATTATTGACGGAAACATTTTTCTTTGTTTTATCTCAATATCAAAAATATTTCTTTATCTCCTTCGTCTATGAATTAAACAATCTTTTCTATTTTTAGATCCTGATTTCACATCTTTAACAACTAATGATTTTACCAATGATGAAGTTAATACAAAAAATGAAATAAAAACGTTATTAACAGATGTTAATAAAAACATTGAATAGTTCATATTTTTACCTTGATTAATAATTAGTCCATGTGGTAGATGTAAATGTAAATGTTCACTATCGATTTTATCATCATTTAGCCATGTTTTGAAATAATGACTAATACAATATTTATCTAAAATAATATGAAATCGTTTAACTATCATAATTATATGAAAAACAGTCAGTAGATATTCTAAACATGTAACATATTCATTTTTGTGATTATCTGATTTTCTGATCCTCCGCTAAAATAGACGCCCATGTATACAGATATGAAGAACAAATCATAGAATCAAATAATCTGAATAGATGTATAAAATGTTAAAATATTTATAAATGTATGTACGGGAGAGGTGTTGGTGATAGGGAAAAAATCTACATAGAAAAGTACTGCTCTAAATACGATGTGTATGTACGACATTCCTAAGTTTTATAGCAGACAAAACTGAGTGAGTTTTGAAAATTTAAGGAATCGTTTCGTTCAAAGTGATTATGTATGAATGAAAAGAGCAACTTGTAATATACAAATCTCAATATATAACATATTCATTTTTGTTCTTCATATTTTTATACGTGGGCATCTATATTTCAGTGAAGAATCAGATAATCACAAAAAATGAATAAGTTATTTGTCATGACCTCAAAGACAGATTTTACATTGTATAATAGACTCTGTATGAAGGATGAAAATGTCATGTACATGGTCTCTCTATTTGGGTTAGAGAAAAATACCGTGTTCAAGAGCAAATAATAATTATCTTTGAGACAGTGTACAATAAAATTTAACCATGAGCGTCTATACCGACGGTAAGGATTTATTTTACACTGAATTATGAAGGATACTATAGAATATTTGAGATTTAATACAAAATTATACAAAATTTTTGAGTGTACATACCATTTTGAATATATTTGATTTCCACCGGTCCTAATGATGTTTGTATAATTTCATTTTTCCATCGTTGTTGCTTTCCATAGTCATTATTACCATCAATATGCACAACTTCCACTTTCTAAGACGAATGAAATATTAGTTTATATTCACATGATATTTTATACCGATGTCAAGGCTATTAATAATCGATAGATTTTATTTTTTTCTTTCTCTTCCTATACGCAGTTACATTCCAACAATTGTTATTTAAAAGTATTATACGATTAATAATTGACGACGTAATAATTTGGTAGAAAAAATTATCATAGTGATTTACATAACTCAAATATTTTTATCGTACAAATTACTTATCAGCTATTAACTATTTGGGTAATTTTTCTTCTCATCCTTTTCTTTATCTCACCTATTACAACATATATCAAAACAATAGAGAAAAACGTGATGATAAACAGAAGCAACGAAATATTTCTCTCATGTATAATCATCATCAAATTAGAATATGAATAAATTATTTTTGACAACAGTTACCATACATTCCACTCCTACCTTATTTTTACGCTCTCTTTCTCTCTTTCTATTTTCTCCCTTGGTATGTGTGCAATTAAAATACCCTACGATACTAGGATAGATTTATCTAAAATGAATACGTAATAAACCGACCTTTCCATAATAGATGTAATTTGTAAAACATCGAAAAGCTCGTTTCCTATTGGATGATCCATTTAAAAAAACAAAAAAACCAGAATTAAAATAAACTACATATTTTTATAATAATATCATTCGAAAAAACTTAAATCACGTTCAAGACTCAATCTAAATATCTGTTGTTAAATATCCATCTTTATCACATTATATTTGCGATTCTATTGTCATAAGACGTTTATTAGAAAATTTACTATCGAAAAGTATAAGAAACATATGTTTTTTCCACTGTGCATCGCACAAGTCCTGTTTATTTTCTTTATCTAAAATTCCATTTGAGTTCGAGAAGATTGGCAAGTCTATAAATACATTATAATGAAGTTGAACTAAGATTGACATTACTTAAATTAAAAAATTAATCTTTTATAGATCGAATGTCTGATAGCATGTAGATATTATTCATCATTCATTACTATTACTACTCTATACAATTATTGACAAAATAAAATGATAGTTTATTAAATTAAACTATACAATATCCAAATACAACCGTACGTCCTTGATCGTTTACGTAAAAAGAAAAGAAAACATTCTTAGAACAAGGTGTCACATTTATTTTCTTTCGCCATTACTTTTTCCAACAATACTTTTCTCGCCCCATTGAAAATAGCAGAGATTGAGAAAAATGACGTTTTTTTTTTGAGAATATAGTGACAGTGTAAGCAGTGTAAACAGTGTTACAGTAGATGATACCGATGATCTAGAACCTTAAACATGACTTTTAAGTCACTTTGAGGCCATTTTTCTATCAAACGTGTCATAAAAAAGGATTTAATCGTTACTAATTAACTTTTAACCTATTACGAGTTACTCGACAAGGTTCTAATAAAAGGGATCAGTCACTTTTATATAAAAGACATGGAGACATATGTAATCGATATTTCTGAATACGTTAATAAAAGTAGAGATTATGTTTGGAAAAATCACGTGGCTAAAAGTAAAAAATTTTTTGACACAATCACTTTTGAACTTAGTCACGTTGTAGAATAGATCACATTCTCAATGTTGGCAGATTGTTTTGACTATTGAATATGTTTAGAAATTTTAAAGTTGGTTACCACCTAAATAACGAAAACATTACAAAAATCAACAAATTCTAAAGAAAAATATAACTGGATTGCAATTGCGCTGCGCACAAGTTGCGATGTCGACAGACTCCGTCTCTGACTGAATCTACTATTCCAAGTAGATCCTATCAGTAGGCTGTGAGCATTGCATTTTTGCTTTGATTTACTCTTTGAACTTTTTTATAATATAAAATAACAATGAAGGAAATTCGAAAAACAGAGAAAGAAATTATTTTTCGTTCTCCAACTAAATAGTGTTGGACAGAGATAACAATAATTATCTAGGTCCAAAACATTTTTTGACATTTTTCTTCCAATTGTATGGCGCCGAATCTGGACTTAGTTTTGAAAAAGGAACGTTCATTAATCAATCTCCAATGTCGAGAGGTTATCACCCCGTTTTCAGAAGTTTTCAACGTAACGTAGTTTGCTAGATCACGTCGTGCACATTGTGTAAAAAAGATTACTAAACAAAAAATAAAACAAAATCCCAGCAAAAACGCATAATGTCTGCCGACATAATAAACAAGACAGATAAATTTGAAAATTACTACTGTAAGTCTAGGCATGTAGTGACCGATTCTTATCCCGTGTATTCTTCATAAAAAACTTTTCCTAACTCAAAACAATTTTCTGCAATGTTTTCTTTTAACTACTGGATTTTGTATAGCAAATAGTTCTCTACAAAATGACATGTAATTATGCTTTTCGTCTTGAGTCAGTAGTTAGATAACAAATGTGCACTAAACCCTCTACGACCGGTATCGGTTCATAGTGATTTATGCCTCTTTGTCAAGAAGCGATTGCGACAAAAACAAAAGCATTTTGCCTTGTCTCATTCTATAGAAAAATGTTTGCTCTACAAAGTCCGATCGTCAAGAAGCTTTAATATATTGGACAATGAGATCAGTCTGATAAGAGTAAAATATATCGCTAAATACCAGTGTATGCCCACTCGTTAGTAGTACACATTGAATCCGTTGCAAAACGATGGCATCATTGTAAAAGAGGGTTTGTATGGATGGATGTCTCTTAAATCTGAATCAAACGAATGGTCACAACGAGGTAATGATGGGAGAGAGCTAATGAATATTGAGAAGTGAAAGGAAATGATATTGTAAAACTAGAGTGATGATGATGCTGCTGGATATATGATTATATACAAAAGTTGGAAATAAGTGTTGAGGAGAGTTTTCGAATTTAAATATCTAGACTATATAATTGCGTATTGTTTCTCATTTAAACCAATGCTAAATGAATTACTTACTACAGAACATTAAACCGACTCGTCAGAAAACTTTAAACTTTTCCACACATTCTTTGCTACAAAATAGCACACGTCTCATGAAAAGGTATTCTCTCCTTCCAGAATTATACATTTTTTTTTATTATCCAAATTAAGGTACATTTTTGACACAGGAATGTTGATACTGCATTAATAAAACTGTTCTATACAAAAAAAACGATGAAAGACTTAAACTGTATTTTAGTCTCATTTTGTGCAGAATTCAATTCTCTCTCTCTCTCTTGTACAGTATGAAAAAGTAGAAGTCGATTGTGAGTGTGGGAGCGTAAACATTGAGAAAAAAATTGACTTTTTAGCAGTGAGGGAGTCTGCCTACTTTATATTTTTCTTATTTTCTATGCATCTTGAATGGAAAACGCATGCATATTTGAAATAGATGATTTATCATATGAATAATATGAATCAGCGTATTATTATATAAATAAATAAATCAATTATTCACACCGATCCTCTACTTTCTCTCCCTCTATTATGTACAAATGTGGGAAGAATACGTGTCACATATAATTATTACAAGTATTTGTTTTCTTCTTTAGTTTCTATTCTCTTCGTTTTTTATCTTTTACTATTCTAACAAAAAACTATAACAAGCTTTTGAACAACGATAAAGACCCTTTTAATAATGATAACTAACGTAAATGTTAGTTGACATTTTTACCTGTACTTTAAATTTTTTTTGTTCACCATATTGTTTGATATCACAATTAACTAAATCAATTGAACGACTTGTCAAGATAATAATATGAAATTCTGGATTTATAAATGATAATGAAGATGACTAAAATTCAAAAAACAAAACAACAACAAAATATTTATTAAATAAAGATTTTAATTTTGATACTCAATAAAAAATAAAAAAAAATACAATAATATTTTGTTTTAATCAGACTATCTGATAAACATATGAGATTATCAAAAAATAACAACATATATACATAATACTATGATTATTAATTCAGTTTAATGGTCATTTTTCATCATATTTAGCAATTAAAATAAATAATGGACATTTAATCAATCACCTAAAATATTATTTGGACAAAATTAACAGTATTTTGTCACGCAATGATACAATATTAAAACAAATGAATATCGGCAATATACTTCTATTTCAAAATCAGATTATAGGTAAAGTATAAACTACTTAAAAATAAATATTGATCAATTTTTCAATGTATTTTATTTTTTATTTTTGTTTTTGTTTTTGCAGACGAATTTTGCACGAGATATTCCATTTAGAAGATATTATGTATTTATTTATTTCATTATCTAAAATCTAAGAAATTTGTATAAAAAAACAAAAAACAAAACAAATTTAATTTAGATAAACATTTTTGTTAAACAGATGAATGCAACAATTCATCATCTGACAATCGTTGCTGTCTTATTCTCGTATTCTCCTGTTGTTGTCCTACTCTCTCATTCTCCTGTTGTTGTCTTATTCTCTCATTCTCCTGTGGATATTTTATTCTTCCATTCTCCTGTTGTATGGCATATTTATTAAGCATTTCTATTACAACTTGTGCTGCTATAATATCATCGGCATTATCCGATATTAAATGTATAATCAAAGTACCATCATACATTAAATAATCACTTGTAAATTGTGCAATATAACGATCATTTCCAGAACGAGATGGAAATACTGTATATAAACGGCGAATATACGATATACGACGACCTTCAAAGAATATTTCACAGAGTGTAGAAATAAATGACAAAACATTTCGAATAAATATGTAAATAAACCAAAACCATAATACCATAAATATTTTTTCGTTCAATATATTTATAGGTAAAACACATTGTACAGTATATCTATGTATAATTCCAATTTCTCTTACTCTTAAATCACATAATGTTACTCTTGGAAAATAGGGTGAATCTTTGAGAATATTTCCCGATATAATTGTATTCCAAACATCGATTCCAAATAACCAAGAATCTTGACCAAGAAATAAATTTAATAATAAAATTTGTACTAAAGAATTTAATACATATAAAAATTTAACAAATAAATTTAATGATGATAAATAATTTCCCATTCTTTTACCGGATGTACACGATACTACACGTAAACATCGAATAAATATATTTGATTTTTTTATTTCAATTAATGGTGAACAATATTGTTCAAGTATATTAACTAATGTTGTTACAGTTTTTGCATCACGTCTTTTATCAGGATGACATTGACTAATAAAATTTTGTATATCGATACCAGACCGAGTATTCATTGAACGCCAGAGCATACGTGGAAGATAAAAACAGAATGCCATAAATAGTAGAATAAGAGGTGTCCATTGATAATAACCTATAATGATATGATCATCAGGATGCATATATGAACAATTCTTCAAAAATAGAGATAATAAAAAATTGATACGTATACAAAATATTTCTCTATTCAGATACATGTTAACTTTGAAAAATTTTAACTATTCTATTAGTTAAAAATTACTTAAAGATATTTTTTTACATATAAACTCTTTTCATTTTATCACAAAGATTATATATGTACAGAAATCTTAGATGTTTATCATAAAAATCTGTTGATCATTAATGAAATATGTTGGATGCCCTAGTGGAATTTCTTATATCCAAGGTCTTGATACACGAAGTCAAGAAAGGATGAGAAACGGCTTCTGTAAGAAAATGGTCCAATATGATTTTCAGGAATTCAGTTTTTTACGCTCCGCTCCCTCCCCCTTCCCCTCCCCCACCCAAAGGATTTCTAGAAAAAATTTTCGCACATCTTTTCAAAGTTGCATGGACTAGATGTGGTTTCTTAAGATGATCAAAAATCATCTCCTTTACCGTCTCTGAAAGATCGTAAGTCGTGTCTAGATGTTTTTTTGTATCCTCACACAAAATCCATCTTTCTTTATGCAGATCGAACTTTTCTCAAATCTTTTAGAGACGCTAAAGGAGATGCTTTTGATCATCTCAAGAAACCGCATCTAGTCTATGCAGTTTTGAAAATATCCGCGAAAATTTTTTCCAAAAGTCCTTTCGAGGAGACCGGGAGCGTGAAAAACTCTCCAGAAAATGATACTAGTGTCACCCAGCTATGATTTTAATAGAAAAAAAGTCATTTGTAAAGGGTAAAGGATGTTCGCGTACTTGCAAATACTAAAATCAATATCTAAGTTCAACATTTCCAGACTAGTTGTACATGAACATAGTTTTGAAAAGCTTGTTTATAGCTCATACTGAAGCGTTGAAAATTCTCTGTCTTCCTATATCTTAGAAGGTATGGAGAAAACTTAGAATAGTGGATGAATGCCGTTGTTTAGGACATTAATGAATTCTCTCTGCAGTTTTCCACAAGAAGTTTTGAAAGTTTAAACAGGTTCTTAGATGAAACACGAAGCATTTCTAATAATCCTAGACGATTTGCGCTTAAGTGGAAGGGAGTTTATCCACCTCATTTTTTCCAACCACTTTATACAGCACACTCTGAAACCTATATTCCAAAAGTTTTTCGGGTCCGAGAAATTGTAGTTTTTGAGAAAATAATCTTTTAAGTTTTATCACGATTTTTTCCTTAATTTTTGAAAATTTTACAAAATATTTTTGTTTTTTTAAATGAAAAGCTAAATTTAGTCTCATTCGATAGGCCATATTGAGATGTACCTAGAAAAACAAAATTTCATCGATAACGAATGAAGTTTGATCGAGTAATTTGAAGTTCATTAAAATTTCATTTAAAGATCGAGTTTTACGAATTTCAAAAATTTTCTCACTCCTTTCATGCTAAATTCGATGCTGAACACCTTTTTGTTTCCACACTTTTCTTCCGCAAAGCTTCTATCGAGCAAAACCTTCGGCAAGGCTTTCCTAAAATTACTTTTTGCACTAAAACTGCATCGGGCAGGTCAAAGTCAATTTTCTCGATCAAATTTCATTCGGTGTCGATGAAATTTTGTTTTTCTAGGTACATTCATCTCAATATGGAATGAGACTAAATTTAACTTTTCATTTCAAAAAACAAAAAAAATTGTGAAATTTTCAAAAAGTAAGGAAAAAGTCATGATAAAAACTTAAAAGATTATTTTCTCAAAAACTACAATTTCTCGAACCGAAAAACTTTTGGAATATAGGTTTCAGAGTGTGCTGTATAAAGTGGTTGGAAAAAATGAGTGGATTGATCCTCTCCTTAAAATCATATTGGATCACTTTCTTACAGAAACCGTTTCTCCTCCTTTCAAGATGATCTTGAAATTCTGAATTTTTTTAACTTCTTACGTTTTCTTATCAAGATCTTGGATCAAAAAGTATGACTAGGATGGTGAATCAAGATCAGTGAAAATGATGAACAAACCAGAGTGGCGAAAAACGTTGCAGTTTTGTGAATTTTGCTTTAACTATATAATCGATTATTTTTTCAGGCGTATGTCATATTATCTTGTGAAAATAAGTGTCTTTCATTAAAAAATTTTTGCTTCATTGAACAATTTTTGTCGCGCATTTGAGAAGAGATTCAAATGGGATCCCTAGATGCATCAACAACGCCTTTAAATCTTAAAATTCACAGTACAAAAGACAACATTCTTTCCCTTGTCCTTTCGTGTAAGATGATCAAATAGAAGAGTAATCATTTTTAGATTTCTCTCAACTATAGTTAAATACAATTATTAAATTTTCATTCATTCATATTTTTTTCATAGTTTGTGTTTTAATCTTTATTATTACCTATTGTAGCTCTTCCTCTGACATATTCACTATCCGGTATTGTATTATTAATGTGTATGTAATACGTGTTTGATATCCAACAATAGTTGTTTGTATATGATGTATAAGAGCTACTAAATTGTGCGGGTACCCAACATGTAATCTTATTCAATGTAGTATAACTACCGACGACAATGGCACAACACACCAATATAATACCCACTGTATGTCGATGATTTAAACGATCAATATGTTCATCATCATTAGGTAAAGATAATGATTTAATCCACGGTAATTCACGAGCAAAATTAACAATATTCATGGTCACGACGAATATCTATCAGGATATGTAAGTAAAATTATTGATGCAATGAGAATATTAACATCTGATACTGCATTATGGTTATCTAAACTATTAAAAACAAAATATAGAATAGATTATTTTTATAATTTAAAAGATATTATGATTAAAAATTATTTCCATTTACTTTTTACTTTTATTCATTTGTTTTTAACAAAAGTATAGACAATTTTTGTTTTTATTAGAAGATGATATAAAATTTTTCGTTACTATTCTCACAGTAAGTTTTTGAGTACTACAATAGTTTATAATAAATTTATTTATTCACTCAAGCTTTTTATGATGTGTATCGTGATAAAATGTTAACTATTTATTTGTTAAAAATGTTGTAAAACACATCATTGTTTGTCTATTAACCTACGTATATGTGCAGACACACACACAAACACTATTTTAGTCCCAAAATTTTATATCAATAAGAACTTTTTATTTTATTCTTTTCGTACTTATCTCTCTTTAAAATAAAAATAAAAAAAAAAATCTCGCAAACATAATTTACTTTTATATCAAGGATGACGGGGAAAAAAAAGACAAAAATGAAATTTAGAAAGAACTGAAATAGTTTTTCTCAAAAAAAAATAAAAAAAGCTGATGAAAGAGATCAATAGTGATTAGATATCTTAATATCGGATTAAATAAAAAAAATTAATAAAGTGTGATAAATATTCGTTTCTTTTTATCGTCTTTTTTCTCTCTCTCTTTCTTTAATACTTCATTTTGTTCTATTTACCAAAAACAAATCAAATCAAGATCAAATTTAGGTTCAAATTACATATACGCTATGTGCGTATAAAAACTAACAGAAAAATAGTTTTAAAGAACAAATAATATAAATCTACTACTCATCATGACAAATTTAAAAAAGATAATCTATATTTATGATTAACTAAAGATAAAAGATTAAGAACAGGTTCAAATATTAAACACTAAAATCATTCATTATTTAATAATTTGTTAGAAAAAAAAATGGAAATTTTTGTATGTAAAATAGCATTACATTTTAAACTTTTAATCCTATTCAAAAAAGATAATTGAATATGAATGATTTTAGAAGATTAGAATAATACAATTTATCAGTTGAATAATGAATTTGCATTTGTCTAATATGATATATGAACTGTAACACTCATATAGTAGACAACAACAGGAAAAAAAATGCATATTCTTCCTGTTTATCTGACTTCAACAGTGAGACACACTGAAATCAAAAAATTCTTCTTTTTCAAACTGTTGACTAAGACTATGATACATATCATGCATAATTATTTACAAGGTCGTAGAACGAAGGTAAACATGTACGGTGACATTAGTCTACTGACATATTATGTTAAGTGTATACAAAGAAATGATATATTAGACGCTTATATACATATTTATTATTACTAATCAAATGGAACAATGATTATAAAGAATATTTTTTCAAGAAGATCTATTGAAAATTTTACTTCAAGTTTTTGAGCTACATTTCTAATCTCAATATAAATATCTGAATGATAACTAATTTTCGAAAAGCAACACTCTAAAATGTGATTCGAGATTTTATCTATTATAGTAGAACATGTAAACGAAGCTTCTATCGATAAAAACTGATCTTAAAACTCTGTAGAAAAATAGACTAATTTTGTTTATAAGAACACGTTTTTTTTTTTCTATGGAAAAATATTAACTTGCTTACTTGACTATCTTGTTCATTTTTTAAAAATGAATTAATTTCTTCAGTAGCCAATTCTAATCCATAATTCAAATTAATAAAATCCGACTGTTTAATTGATGTTGATAATTTTTGTGCTCCTAATATCTGTAACTTATAGAGAGCACATTGTATACGTAAATGATTATTACGAATCGATATCAGTGGCAAAAGTGTCTAAAATAGATAAACAAACAAAATCATGATGTTTTAAAAGTAGACAATTAATGATTACATATCAAAGTTGTTAGTAATTACTTACATGCACTTAAAACTAAAATAAGATGTTAACAGTTCATTAGACAAGTGACTACAACGACCGTTTCGAAACATCGAAGCTTGAAACGGTCTTTGAAGTTGTATTGTCTCAGGAACAGGTTCTTAGACCATATTGCTACTACAAACTAATTCTAACATATACTGTCTAAGACAAACTCATATAGAAATAAAGAAAGAAAAGAATGCGCCTGAATCAAGTATTCGTGACTAAATAACTCACAGAAAACGAACATCAAAACAAAGCAACAATAATAATAAACTGCAATTATGTGAATGCACAAAATTGCCATCAAACTCGAAAGACCAGTTATGATTCTGGTTAAAAAATCTTGATTTCTATACTTTTTCGTGCATATGTAAGATTGTGCTCTGGTCCTCTGTGGTGCTAGTGTATTCCGTGTGGGTGAAGCTCTGCTCCCGGCAAAAATACTTCGTGAACTTCTGAGCGCTTTGGACAATATCCTTCGCTCAGGTCATATTTTAAGTCAAAGTTTACGCTTTTCGAATTTGAAGGCAATTTTGTACACTGACATAACTATAGTTTGTTATTATTTTTGCGTTGTTTCGATGTTCGTTTTCTGTGAGTCACGTAGTCACGAATATTTGACTCAGAAGCATTCTTTTCTTTCTGTCTTAGACAGTATATGTTAGAATTAGTTTGCAGTAGCAATATGATCTAAGAACCTGTTGCTGGAACAATACAAGTTCAAAGACCGTTCCAAGTTTCGATGTTTCGAAATGGTCGTTGTAGCACTTGGCTAATGAACTACTAATGTTAAGTGCATGTAAGTAATTACTAACACCTTTGGCTTTCTAGTTTATTCATCAGTTATGACTCTGATTAAATAACCTTGATTTCTATAATTAATGATTGATATGCTACAATTGCAGTGACATAACACAGTAAAGACAACAGAATATCTCAAAAATTGATCAGAGAAAAAACGCAGTCACTAAGAACAGAACGTTATGTTTTCAGTTGTAGAAAGATATAAACTAACTTTATCTGATTCACTCTCGACGAGCATTTGTTGTTTTTTTTCGTTACACAAAAGTCAATAATTTCTTATGTACTTACTTCACTCTGTTGTGATGCAACAATTAATGAAAAATGTGGTATTTTTTGTTGTGTAATATAAGTAGTTAATATTGAAAACAACTGATCAATTCCCATTACTGTACCAGCGATTAAATCACTATTACTCCCGGCACCACATTCAACAATCAATAACCGACCTAAAAAATAAACAAATAAAAACATTAATCCTTTTCTGAATAGTTTAACAGTTTAATGCAGACGTACTGGGATAGGTTGAACGCACACTCCGTAAACCACTCATATTCGATATTGAATTGTTATCTAAAAACAAACAAAAGTTGTACTTAAAATAATTAAAAAACAATGAGATTGAATTGTTTTATCTAATAAGAAATCAATACTATTGGAGACACTCAAAAACATTAGTTCATATTGTTGTTGTGGCTTTTAAGTCTATGAGAGAAAATAGTCGAAAGTCTACGTTCAATAGTGTCACTTTCAAAATAAAAAATCAATCATCTAGTATAAGATTACACGGAAAATATCATTCAGACAGGAAAAGTCATTTATATAAAATAATATTATCGATCTTCCTTATTGAAGAAACGCACGTTAAAACAGAATCATGTCAATATAAAATAGTCCTCATAAAATCACGTGCAATACATGTCTCTTAATGCAAACGGTACTCAAAGTGGAAGTGATAAAAATAGTGAATTAAATAATGAACTAGTTAAAAGTGTCTAATATTAGTACGTAAATAAAATTCTATAAAAAACAACAACAACAACAACGTGAAATAATAAAAAGAACATTAAGAAAAAACAACACTAGAACTCTAGAAAACTATGCATGAAAAAAATTACTTTTTTACAGTAATTCTATCTCCATTGAATAGATCGACTGTTTTTGGTGTCACAATTGCATGACGATATCTCAGTGGAAATATTCTCGATACTAAACTTCGTTCCGGTTCTTTTATAACATATTTTGCAGCATGCAAATGTGAATGAGATTTTTTTTCCTTCTTTTCATCTGATTCTTCTGAATGAATTTCGGTACATTTACATTGATAAATATTTCGTTTATCATCTTTTTTACATTCGGTTAATTCATATTTTCCTGGTGGAACAGCACCGAAACCAAACCAAAGACCTGATGCGGCGTAAGTACATGATCCCGATGGAACATAACATAACTGACGATTCTTGCGTGAAAATTCATATTCATTAACGATCGTAGTAGGATATAAAGTAGGAGTGTTCATTATTCAAGGAAAAAGATCTAAAATAAACAAAGAAAGTACAATGTTTCAACAAGTTCCAGCTTCAATTTTTCTCATAACAAAAACATAATGAAGAGAATGATGCCAAGAAATGATGAAGCAGATGATGCATTTCTACTGTAAAACGAAAATACAGCTAATAGCTATCATTTAAAATAAACAAAAATTCATAGTTCTAATAGTCCGAACTAAATAAGAGGTTCAAAACTGAATATATCACGTGTATCTCTTTCGCTTAAAGAGAGAAATTCATATTAGAGATAACAAAGAACGAAGCAATTCTAAAAGGGTTAGCTTTTTATCGATAGCAGAAAAAGTTATATACACATGCATATTCTATCTCACCTTCAGTACTTAAAGTGAGTGTTCAAAAATTTATAAAAATGAAACACCAATCAGATTTGCAAGAAAGTAAATTGGGATAAGATGAAACATGTAGATATGAACGTAGCTTGAGAGAAATAACGCACGCACATAAAGGTCAGTTTTAGTTTCAAAGCGGTAGAGAGTCTCATCGATGATAACAAGTTTTATTGCTATCTCACGTATGAACAATGATGTGAAATAATCTAGAAATCTTGTAGCATACGTTATTTACTATTATATGTATTTTGACGTTTGTTTTTTGAATATAGCTACATGACTGATGTAACCTATATGTCTTTATTTCTCTATATATAAGACACGTTAATCTATATATAGAAGTTATAGTATAAACCAAATGATTCTTTTTCTCGCTCTTTTTTACTAGCTATATATGCAGAAAAGGAAAGAAATATGTTTATGTTTATATCACGTGGTTTAGCACATGCACGTTTTTTTCAATTAGTGAGTCGACTTGATAAAAGCATTCAATCCATTTGTGAAAATAATAATGAAGAAAACCATACATCTTTACTGATATAATTTCGATAATTTTTAAATTTGATCAGAGATAGTTGTGCAATACTAGTATTGTTATATATTAGCACTGATGATGGACGATCTAGAAAATATAGAATACAACATCATACCCTAGTGAAAGTACTCATACTATGAGTACGACTTTACTCATAATTCGTCCATGAGTACTCATATGATATGATACTTTTGAGTATTTTTACTCAGTTACTATATGAGTACTCAGAAAATATTCATTCACCATTTTGTTTTGCAAAAATGAACTGTATAAAGAACGCAGAATTTTGTAAACGGAAACATAGAATATTTATATGATATTTTTCCCTCTGATCTCTCTGTATAGGCAGCGATGGACTCGTATGTGAATAGACTTGTAGTCCTACTCTAGCTGCCTGAGATTACTCCTCTATATGAAAATACTTGATGAACAATACGCATGACTATTTTGACAAACGTTATATGCGTACTCAACAATACTCTAGCATGAGTACTCAAAGTCGTCCCCACAATACTCATTACTCGCTCTTGAATACACATGTGAGTACTCAATGATTAGTCAAAGTGTATGAGTACATATGGGTACTCGTCCGGTTTTTCTAGCAGAGCACTTTTTGAGTACTCACGCATGAGTACATTCACTAGGGTACATGTACAAGTATTTTAATGAAGAAAGGAAGTTGAATTTGCTGAAATGGATTCTTATTTTTTTTTTACAAAAATTCTGGGAGTGACGTTTTATGGCTTGAAGAAGCTGAACCTGCCCTTGTTCATCAAGACAATACAACGATTCGACGATGAGTATCAAAAGAAATATGCCAATAAAAAGTCCAAAGAGAAAAATGTTTCGGCGTATTAAATAACTCTGGTTTCTGTTGATCACGTAACGGTTGAATCACTTACTACAAGTTTTCGATGGCTGGTGTATGGTTAGTACTCGAAATATAGTAACAAGTCACATTTTCTTCTATGTAATATATAATATTTTATCTAAATCATTCATGTGTTGACATTTGTCGAGAGACGATCGATCATATCCATATTTATAAAGCCTGCAAGTAAAAACTTCAATAATTTCTAAATTTGAGTAATTACCACCAACTGTTTTGTTACCTTCATTTTTCTTTGAAATACTTTGTATTTTTACAAGATTGACTTTGCGTTTTCGATCGTTTAATTTTCACAATGCTACAATACAATGGAATCTATTTCGCTGAAATTCCAGATGAACAGTATTTCAATTCGATGTTGTTTATTATAACATCTTCTTTCACGTTTCCAAAGGTTCACTCAATTTGTACATTCTTGTTTAAAAAAATGTTAGAAAAAGGTTTCGTATCGTCTTGTATCATACATTCTAGTTATAGATTTTCACTCCGAAAATTACATTTGGTTCGTTTCCAATTTGAGAGCGATTAGTTTTACTACGTTACACGTCGCTACAACTTTTTCCAGAGAAAACCGCGAGGTTTTTTGTAAAAGAATTTTCATGGAAGCATATTCAATATGATATTTCTTCGAAAGTACATTCTTACAGGCCACGTTCGAATGGATATATTCATTTGCTCCTTTTTTCTTAAAATAGTCTTTGTGGAAAATAAGAATTAAACGATTATTATACGCTATGATTTTCAAAAAAGAAACGATAATGTAACACAAACTGGTATGAACAACACTTATAATATTTAGTCTTTAGAGTATACACAGCAAACTGCTATTAAACGTATAGTAAATGTTGACTAGTTGTAACCATTTTTAAGAGACATTTTATAATCCATACTTATATATGCTCGTGCAATTTGAAATTATATTCTTATATTTTCAAAGAGAACAAAGCAGTAAAAACGACGTTTGTTGCTTCGTTGACTAATATGATCTTATACCCTTTGTGTTCACATATTTAGTGGCGGGAGAAAATGAACGTAACACGTTCCTGTAATCAATACACTATCAGATGGAGAAAGTATCTTTGAATTCCATACTAGTGATCTGCAGATTGTTGTCATAGAGACTCGTTCACGATAATAAAATCAGTTCCTTTGTTACTGAAAACGCTGAAGAAAAACTTGAATATTTTCTCTTCACAGTTTCAGTGCAACTCTTCTGTTAATTCGTCGTCAGATGTCGTTATTAGACTATTCAAGGTTTGCTTAAATCTGTTGTTTCTGTGCAGTTCGTCTATTAATCGGATCTATTCAATCATACTAAATAGCTATTGGCTTATCGTCAATCTTTGCTTCTTGGCTCATTCTCAAGGTCGAGTAGAGTTCTAGAACAGCGTTTTGAACGGATGCTTGCTTTTGTCTGTTTCTTGACTTCGTTTTACATATATAGAGATAGCTAAGTGAAGTTTTAGCCTCAGTTATGTTGTTTATTATGTCGGTTTAGTAAAAGATATATGATAAATAATCTGGATTATAGAGTGCACGTCTTCTAATCTTTCTTATCTTTTTACTTTTTTGTGAAAACTTCCTTGGACTTGTCCGTTTTCCGAAGAAAAAGGAAGTTTGAAGTATAAAGTTTATATACGAGGGTTTTTTTGTCAGTGGCTCTAACCACAATTTTCAGTAGCTGTAAACTTTTTGGGTGAAATTGTGATTGATCAAATTTCAATATAAATTTGGTGTTTACAGCTGCTGAAATGTGTGTTTACAACTACTAAATGGACTAGTAACAGACAGTGCATTATTGATCTGATGTTGTTAGACACAAGTTTTAAAAAATATTACCATATCTCTCCATATAATCAGAAAAAAAAGCTATTAAATAAAAGTTTCTCTCGCGCGCTACTATTCTTATTTAACTTCCTCTTCCTTCTATTTATACATCTATCCACATATATTTATACATGTTGGTTATAGTCCAACAGCTCAATAGGAAGTTTTCACATTTTTGCTTCGTATAAGCAACGCTGACAAGCTTTTTAAGAGTACTTCCAAGTGAATGTATTTATATACAAGTATTTTCTCAATACTCTCATAAGTTTTAATCAACGTTCCTGGGATTTTTTTGCAAGTGAATGAGTATTCGAATTATCTTACGTTCTTGTCAAGTACTTGCTCAAGTAACCCGGAAATACTTTGAGAGATAGAACAAGTGGATGAAGTATCTGGCAGGTGCTTTGAGATATTTGGACCAATAATTACCAAGTAGCATTTTACGAAAATACTTGCCGAGTGGGCACGGCAATTCATCAGTAAACAAGCACCAGCTTGCAAGTGTATTCAGTAGGGCTTTCATACACTACGTTGCCTTTTGGAAACGAGATTATTTCTTGATTAATATTATAAATCATTCAATTTTCAATGGTATTTTAATTGTATATAGCACTATTCTATCATATTCTGTAGATAAAATATATAAACTTTGTTTGTTCTTTTGCAAGGTGAGGTTTGCTAAGTTATCACTTTTTGTACGAAAGGAAAATAGATTCAAACTGTGCTTATCACTAGTTTTATATCGTTCTTTTTAAACTATAAGTTAGTTTTTTTTTCACCTCTTTTGTTCTAGATGATAAATCGTTGATGTTGTCGATTATTTATTTTATTATATTCATTTTTCGTATCGCCTATTGTTCGTTACTATCGGATGTTCTTCAAAACATTCATCAACAAAAGAATTTGACACAACACGCGACTTTACCATATGATTTTAGTATGTAAAACTAAAGAAAAAACTTTTATAAATTTTCTGTTATTTTGGGTGGTGACTAACTTTGCTTTGCTTTTTGTTTATTTTCAGTTGGTTCAATATCTCATATTTCGATTGATACATTAACAGTTCGTACACGTTTAAATGGTACATGTCGAATTAAATTAGCTTGTATATACACAACAAATATCTGGAGAGCAGCATTTAAACACAAACATCCATTAGAACCGCTGCGATACAAGTAAGAAAAATGTAAAATGAGTCGATCGAACATTATGGAGAAAATGCACGAAGTATGTCGTACGCTATCTCATATTATCGACTAATCAAACATAATAGAAAGATCTTAGAGAAATCTTTAGTCGATGAGTTATGTTTACGAGTAACTCCCCCCTCCATAATAGAAGACCACCTGATCTTCTATTTTGTTCGGCAAGTCGAATTTTAAAGGGTGGCCTTCTATTGCGGTCAAATTTTGTCGTCTGCTAATAGTCCAACGGTAACTCCCACATGCTTGAAGTTCATCCCCTATTAGAACAGAAGAATATTTTGGCGAAATTTTTTTGAAAACTGCCATTAAACGATTAAATCCTCTAATTAAATATTCGGAGCGACTGGAGACACTGCAGATAAAGTTAGTAAATTATCAGTTAGTAGAGCTTTAACAGCAGTGAATAAACTCATTCCAATTTTATTTCTAGCTTTCGAAACCTATGGTTTCATTATCAAGAAATCTAAAGCATTGAATCAAAATCAACAAGACTAACAGATTAAACTGAAATTGAGATACAAGAAAACAGTAAAGTGAATCATATTTATTAAAGTAGACACGTGTAACTGTACACTAGTGTGTCTAACAGAAAAGATAAATTGTGAATAGTGTAATGTCGTCATTTTATTTTGACTTTTGTCTGTTCTTTTCCATTAAGAGAGACGCTACCTTGGAGAAATAATCAGAGGAATAGATCTGGAGTACGTGCTATTATTTGTAACAATCCTTTAATTAACAGACGATAAGGATTTGTGTCCTACGAAAGAATTTTGAAATTCTGCCATTTTCTATTACGCTAGTTAAATTTTATCTTTTTTGTTAGACACACTAGTGTACAGTTACACGTGTCTACTTTAATAAATATGATTCACTTTACTGTTTTCTTGTATCTCAATTTCAGTTTAATCTGTTAGTCTTGTTGGTTTTAATTCAATGTTTTAAATTTCTTGATAATAAAACCATAGATTTTGAAAGCTACAAATAAAATTATAATGAGTTTATAAAGCTCTACTATTTGCAGAGAAAACTATTCCTACTATAGAAAGAAATTATAAAGTATCAGTCTTTATACTTCTATTTTAGTGATGAAAAAAATTCCTCTCCTAAATGCTCATTTTTCATCCAATAGTTAATCTTTTTTTTCTATCTTTCTTTCGTGAGTTAGAATATTCTCCGTCGAAAGCTTATTGGTTTGCTACATTGTTTTTTATTATTTTTTGTTTTAGTCCTTTAGAATCATTTATAAAACGCGATGATGTGGTTATGGTTCGTGCATCGACTCGATCTCTTCGTGGACAATATTTGTATGGTGAAATATATCATTTATCCAAAAACAATCTCAATTTAAACAAAGAACTCATTCGTCAAGGACTCGCCGAATCTGCTCCTACAACTCTTTCATCATGTGATCATGAGTATTTCTTATTGGCTGAAGAGCAACAACAGAAAAAAAGTTCTAATAGACGTGATCGACGTTCTATTCCACAACATTGTAATTCACCACGATCCGAAATCGAAGAAGAAGAATGTCAACATGAGATCGATGATAAAAATTATAATTATTTGAATACGGTAATTGTTACAGTGGCATGTCTGGTTTTCATTACAAATTTTGAGTAAATTTTAACCTTTATTGAACATTAACTAAGTCATCTCATAGTTACGTAGTGAAATGAACTGTGTAAACAAATTATACGTACATTTATCAAAATCTAAGTCAATATATAGTGCAATAAATCGTATTTTTACTTTTTAATCGATCTTGTTTTAGTCATTTTGCTACCTCAGATTTTGTACAGTATATTTGCGTATTTTGTGTTTTACCCTTATAATTACAGTAAATTATCATATCTTTTCTCCGAATATTAAGCAATCTGGTACGCCGTTACATTTTTTTGGACTATTGTACTAGTCATGTGTTAGTCATTTTAATCTGTACAGTTATATTTCGTTCAAATTTTTCGTAAAAGTTAAATTAGATGCTATATGCTAGTTATTTTATTTTGATTTTGTATATGTAAAGCGAATGATGGGTTGAAACCATAATTTTTTTGTTAATGAATAAATTCAACAACACAAATTGTTTAGGAAAAACAAGAATGAGTTTTAAATAATTTGAAACATAAGAGAAACAGTTTAGTTCGACAATATCACTCACTCTACGGAAGATGCCGCATCTCAGAGACAAGTTTAGTTTAAAGGCAAGTAAGATTGAAATAGATATGAAGAGAAATATATAAACAACATAAAACACTTCAGATGTGTACATTAATTAAATCTCATTATTTTTTTGATGCAATCGGTTATTATTTTCTTGATATAATATCTTTGTATTTACCAGAAAGAGGTAACTATAAATCAAGCTATGAAATAGGTATAGAGTGTGTGAGACATCGACGTTAAAGCAATTATCAAATGTAGACACAGAGACAGTAATACGATAAGTAAGAGGAGAGGTAAATGTTCTATTGTGCAGAGGAAATCTTAGACTATAAAGGCTGTTTTAGTAGAGATGGATAAGTCCAAGTCCGAACTTGAAAGTTTTTTTGATGGACTTGTCTTGGACTTGAGACTCAACGGATTTTTTATCAAGTTCGTTTTAAGTCCAAGCGGTTAAAATCTTTTACAATCAACAACAGAATGAGTATAATATGATACTTAATTTATTAATCTGTTTTTGTCGAAACAAGCATCAATATATGGATAAGATTTATTTATCCGTCATATATGATTATGACGTACTGTGTCGTGCGGAAACTGCTATGAAGAACTTGGACTTGAACTTGGACTCCAGCGGATTTCGATTTGCCAAAATAAATTTCTGCTGGACTTCGAAATGGTCGAACTTGTCCATCTCTAATAGGAGATGAATCTGTCGATATCAAAAATGTCGAAGCTATAGTAGACAATACGTCTAAGATACTCAGCAAACTATAAAACAAAATGTTCAAGAAGCCTAAAATATCCTAGATCATTTACTTATCAATATACCATTATAATATGCTTAAGAAAGATTTGGTAGATGTTACTGATCATTTTCACCAAACCGCTAACATAACATATGACAACCTCAATAAGTAGATCGACTTAAACCGTTCCAGTATATCGACAAAATGTTCCGACATAATAATCCTGACGTATTTCACCATCAAAATGGGAGTATACTAGACAATATTCTCAACCTCTATGACATATTTGACCAGTGTAAACAAAGGTAAATATTGACATTTTGTTTCAAGAGATCATTATCCATATTTTGATTTTCTATTTTACAAATATAAAATCATATTTACACAAGTATATATCGATATTTTAGATAAGTCGACAATCGAATAGAACGGATATTTTTAAAAATCATATTATCATTTAAGAATTAGAAAGAATGAATATAATTAGACTTTTTTTTTGTATTGAATTCACAGCTGTATACATACGTGTTAAATATCAATCGAGCTAACGAATTGGACTCTGTTAATCAGTCTCTTGGTAAATAAATTTGCGTTGAACATGGAGTTAGCTCTTTTACAAAACATTCTGTTTTCTTATGCTCAAAATACATAACTTATTAACAAAGATGTTAGAAAACAAAAAACCGTAAAATTTGTGTAATTTACAGATAATAAAACAGTAAAAAGAGAAGTGAATATATCTGTAGAAATGAGCACTGATCACTGTTTCATATGGATTAAATTGACATGCATAAAATCAGACAGACAGAAAAAAACTGTACAAAAAGAAATAAAATCACCGTATAGTGAAAGTGTGAGATTCAAACAGAGATGGCACATGTATAAATAATACAAAAAACAAACAAACAAACAAATGGAGCCATCTTTGTTGCACAAATATTAACGTTCGAAAAAGAAATTTGAAAAAATAGAGATCATTTAGAAAGCAACTCGATGAATGAAAATAAATTGAGATTAGCATAATCATTAAATAGTCTGAGAATATCTCTCACTTCAATGAGAATATCTACTTTTGAGTAACTATTACGTTTGCTATAATCTTGTATTTTCTCCATCTTGTTCTGTTTTAATGGTTTCCGCTACATTTTCGCCATCTTTTTCATTCTCTTCACCGTCATGTGGATGTTTCCATTTCCAATTGATAAACACAACAATACATGCCATACCTGATATGAAACGCGCCAAAAAACCCGATAGTGCCATTGATAATCCCATTCGTCGATTATCATATACTTTACATACTCGTCTATTATAACAATCTTTTTGCCAAACTAAACAAGATTCATCAAATACAAAACCAAACAGTAGAGGACCTGATGTTTGTCCCAAAACACGAACAATGGCTTGACGAAGGCCAAGAGCAACTGTTTGTTGAACAAGTGGAACGGAATAGAGCAAAACACGTAACATTGGTACTTGAACTAAAGCAGTAAAAAAGACGACAACGGCTGCCCCAAACAATGTTAACACAAATACAACTTTACCTAAAATAGATAATCAAATTTTTGTGTTAAATATTTAAAAATTATTATGCTTAAACTTACATGGTATTTTTCTAAATTTACACGCTGATTCACTAACTATTACTGTTGAATCAGCACAATTACATTGCCAGTAATAAGTAGTTTGATTTTCTAATATTGAACTTTGATTTTGACTTATACATCCAAAATGACATGGTGAAAGATACATTAGTTTTGGATCGGATATTTGACACACAGGATGATACAATTGTTCACAACATTGTTGATTATGTTTAAGACATGGCGATTGGCGTTGAAAGTTAAGTTCAGGACAAGAAAGAGTAAGAAAGAGAAATAAGAGTGAAGTCATCGTGAGAATAACTGCACAAGTTCGTGCACAACGCATAGGCGTCCATTTGAAACGATTTATAAAATAAGCACCAATTGGGCATCCAATAATCACAGACAAAAGAGCGATAGCACCTAGAAATAGAAAAAAAAGACACAAATAGTTACACCTACTAACATATAAGTTAAATTTCGATGTTAATTACTACCTTAAAGAAGAAAACTATTCTCTTTAAAAGATTCGTATTTTGTACTAACAATCGATTATATATATTTAAATATGTATACCTGTTATCAAGGTAGCTGTCGATGTATCCAATTGATGCTGATATTCAAAGTATTTTGTTATGAATGGAACAAAACCTAAATAAAAGAGAAAGATGAATAAAGTCAGTAGCAAAGAGATTTTATATTTTGTGAATCGTTGCTTACCTTTAAGCAACATTCCTTCGAATAGATTGGCAATAATAATAAATAAAAATCGAACGTTTCTCATTAATTCTCGAAATACTATGCATAATGCTACTAGATTTTCATTTAATCGTATCATTTTTAATCTGAAACGATTCCCAATAGGCTTTTTTTTCTTGCTGTTCATGTTTGACAGTAATACAGATGATTTGGGTTCTGGTATAGAATTTGTATTTTTTTGCTCAAATTTGGGCGATGGTGCTACTTGATTTTTTCGTGATGTCTGTATTAAATCATCAGCAGTTGAAACGACGTCTGTACTAATCGATGGTGCTAATAATGTCACTGTTGTTGATAGATCAGATTCAATTGAATAATTTAAATGGCGAGCAGATGGCGATGGAGTTGATGTGGCAAGCGGCTGAACTTTTGGTAGTTCATTGTAAAGATTATCTAAAGTAGAAGAAAAACCGATATAATTTATGGTATAATACAACTCTGTAAATTAGTTACCTGATGAATAGGCATGATTAACAAAACCATTACTGTTTTCCATTACTGTTGTTCCATTAATAAAATCGGGATCAGTTATAGTCGGCTTATTGATAGATGATAATTCATCCGATGATTTCACTTGTGATTGTCTTTTTCTTAAAGATGGATTTTGCAATCGATATTCAGCAACAATTGTTTCTAATGTTGGTAGCATAGCATCATCCCGTAAGATATTGTCATGGTTGTGATATGAATGGGAATTATGAACAGAAAATGGATCAACACCAGCAGCAGAAGGGAATGAAACAGTTTGATGGTTGGACGGTGGAAGAATAGAATCTATTAAATGAAATCAAATTTTTGCACAAAATACAACATCAAAATTTTAAAAACTTCTTTTTAATGTATATACTACATTATTAGATTTTGATTTAGAAGAAATATTTTTATATTGTTACCTTGTATATGTTGCTTTTCTGATAATGTTGGTATGTTATGCACCTTCTCTTTTCTTCCTGGTTTTTCATAATTGGGCAGTCCTGAGACGAATAATCCAATAATAATACATAGTGTTCCATAAATAATATACGGTAACCACCAACATCCAATCCATAAAGGATGACTAGGTGTTAACCAAGGCGGTAATTTGGACCGAGGTGTTAATTTCGTGTATAGCTGTAAAAAACGACCGGTGACAACGATGCCAAGCGCCCCTCCAACTGTTCCCACGGCAAAGTAGATGCCTTGACAGTAAGCAGCTTTCTAAAACATTATGTTAATATTATTTTTTGTCTCATACGAAAAAGTTAGAATCTTACATCTTTTGAAAATATTCGTTCAATGTACGCAATACCAATACTAAATAATGCTACACTGCCGATTCCATTAACAAAATTTCCTAGATAAAGTAAAGCTTTAGCATTCGATGAATGCTGCTGCTGTGCAAGAAGATTTTGTGTACATGTGTTATTAAATAGATTATTCTGACATGTGAAAAGAACATTGCCAAGTGCCGAATCATCTGAGCCTTGCTCAATAAGTTTATTCAGATTGATATTTGTACCAACAAAATTTGAAATGGCTATTAGCCAATTCCCACAGCCCACAATGAGCATGTTGAGTGAGAAAAAGACTGTTGATGAATAACGACCACCCAAATAACCAACGATTGGAGCTGAAAATAATAGAAAAAAACATGAATTGATAAAAGTAACGATAAACACATTTAACCGTTCTAATTTTATATAAAAAAGATTTATCATAAATGGTTAATGTTTAGATCTCAAAAAGGTACTCACAAGGAAAAGTCTCCATCTGTTCACATTTTTCCTCGAAATATACTTGATCATAGGTAATTTTCGATGTTGATCACACATCTTATATGTATTGCTGATGCTAGACTTTTCTGAGATGGGTCTCTAACAATTAGGTGTCCGAAAATTCACTATGACCTTTCAGCTGAACATATATTAGCACTATCAGATTGAAGAGCGCGTCAAGTTACTCATATGGAAACATTTCTAGAACCAATGAACACTTTTCGCATAGATAAAAAATTTTACTTTCTATTTCACACTGTGGAAAAACAAGTGCTCCTCGGACGGTGAATGGGACGCTTTTTTCGATGTGACACATTTTGTACTTGAAGTATCCAGAGCAAGGCACTTAAAGTGCTTCATTCATCGTCCATTAAAGTGCCCTTTTTAGCTGGCGGTGCACTTCTTTTTTGAGAGTGCAGTAGACCCCAAATATTTCAGATTTTTGTTTTCTAAACTTGTTCTCTCTGCGAAAAGTGTTCGTTGGTTCTGGAAATGTTTCCCTATGAGTAACTTGACGTGCTCTTCAATCTGATAGTGCCAATATGTGTTCAGCTGAAAGGTCATAGTGAATTTTCGGACACCCAATTTTTAGAGACCCATCTCAGAAAAGTCTAGCACCAGAAATGGATATAAGATTTGTAATCAACCTCGAAATTACCTATGATCAAGTATATTTCGAGGGAAAAAGTGATTGGATAGTTGAGGACTTTTTCTTGTGAGTGATGTAACGAATATAACGACATATACCTGAGAAAACTGTTGCCACATCATACAACGCTAAGAATAATCCACTTTGTACTGAATCCAAATAGAAAACATTTTCAATCGTTGATATCACAGCATTATTAGCACCGTTAACAGAAAAATTTTGTACAAATGTACACAGACATAACATAATATAGGCAAACAAATGGTTCGATAAAAATCGTGGTGAATGTAGTCTTAACGATTTCCATCCGTAATAGGAATACTTGGTGTCTTCTTCGTCCACTGTCGTTGTTGTAACTGTTGGTATTTTGTACTCAATTGGATTGTCCATTATTTTCTTATCTTTCTCTTCTTTGGCTTAGGTTTAACTTTTGAACATGAATTAATCGAAACCATATTAGTTCTAACAGAAAAATAGATATAAAAAGAAAGATAGTTATCTGATATAAAATATTAAACTAAAAAAATGGCATCGTTAACAACAGCTGTGTTTTTTTGCTTGAAATGAAAAGTTGAATAACTTGAAAAAAATAAGATATTTATTCACACTTTCATAGACAATGACTACTTTTAACATATAAGAAAAGTAGCAATCATTTTTAAAATGTAATTTTAACACAACAGATTTTAAAATAAAACTATTCTTTGATTAATTTTGATATACATCTGAATTAATATTCATTAGATGCCTACGTCTGAACCGTATACGCAAGACAGAATGCTGATGTTTTGGTAAAAAAACCGACTAACCTCTAGACTTCAATAATAGAAATTCTTTGCGCAAGTTAGACAATCGCTAGCTAGTTTTAATAAAAAGTATTGTAAAAAATCACTTTATTTCAGCCTAACTTACAAAACATAAGAAATAAAATATTAAAATCTGTAAAGAAAAAAAAGTAAAAAATTCATGTGCTAAGACAAAATTGTTCGTACTACGCCACACCTACTCACATAGAATAATTATTCATCTTATCTATTTGGTACATGAATTTGAAAATAAAAAAATTATTTAAATTAATTTTTGATTAGTACAAAAAAAACAATAATAATTTTTCATTATGTATTAAAAGAGTTCAGAAACTTACGTAGATCATCAAGCTTTTATAAAACAATTTCATAAATAGTAGAAATTTAAATAATCATGAATTATTTTTCATTAAAAGAAAATTATTAACCTTAAAATGAAATTTTTCTTTCTAGAATGACAAAACATTTGTTAAAAATTTAAAGATACGAAAACGGTGTAAATACATAATTATCTATACATAATTTAATGCAAACATACATTAGAAGATAAAGATAAATAATAATTGTTGACTATCTCTATTGAGTAAAAAAGAAAAGAAAGTCGTCGTAGTAAATGTTTGTCTATAGACTTTAATTTTACGTACATTAAAGATTATTATATAACACACGAAAAAAAAACACAATCAGTCATAGATTTACTATATTGATTAATAATATCGTCATCTAGACTATTTGACCCTAATTATGACACAAGATACATATTGAAAACAACACCATACAGTGCAAAAATGATATATTTTCAAGTAAAAATAGACAAATTTTAGACTAAAGATCTTATTTACTACTAAATATTATCTAGCTTTACATTGAAAAACAAACCTGTGAAATTTGACAATGAAAATGATCTTTAAAATAGTTTCTGAAAAATATATATGTTTGTGTGTGTGTGTGTATGTGTGTGAATGTATATATGTATGTCATAGAATTATAACTGTTTTAGAAAAGCGTCATATGCTTAATTATTCGATTTATATCACGAAGAATAAGAAAGTATTACAGAGAGGAGGAGAAAAATATGAGAAAAAAGAATTAATAACATGGTTTGCTTTTTTTCCTACTCTGTTGTAAAAAAAGATAACAACTGAGGAAAAGAAGACAGAAAATAATGAATTTCTTTTTAAAATTGATCTTTTTCTTTTTATAAACTTCCAATTATATAAGAAGAAAAAATAAGCTGTAATTTATATAGCAAGATGCACAAAAAAAAATTGAGAAGTTAGAAAAACAGCTCTTATTAAAATTAAGTAAATATTTCCTACTTATTCCATCTGACTATTCGTAGACGTCTTTTGCTAATTATTACGCTTGAGACTGTGTTATGTTGTTTTTTAAAATAAAGTTTTTTTTTTCTTATTTTTTCTTTTCTTTCTTTTTCTTTTGATGAGCAGAGTTTCCTGTTCAACACCCAAGTGGACGTAAAATCAGAATCGACTAGTATATCGGCAAGTTAGAAATGTAGAAATTTTGGCCAATCAGCCGGTACGTAGTCGGATTATCGACTAGTCAAAATTCTTAACTAGTCGATCGGATCAATATCGACTGGTCGCCGTTTTTTCGACTTGCCGTTAACTGGTTAACCAGTTTCCGACTAGTCGAAATCATAAAATCACCCATTCACATTTTTCTTTTCCTGTTTGTACTACTTTATATAAACTACTGATTATTTCATCACTGATTATTAAGACACCGAAATTTTCTTCTTTATTCTTGAAAATTGAATAGGTCATCGAAACCTGTTCTGAGTGAGAGTCAAAGTTCGGACCGATCTTGAAATAGATACTTCAGAAAGTGTCTTGAATTCCCAGTTTGACTGGCTACATTAAATCCCACTAGTGACTAGTCCTTTTAACTTTCCGTCGCTCGACAAAACGTAAAATCGGCTTGTCGAAGTGCCATATTGCGACTTGTATATAGCCGAAACATGCCATTACGGTCAATCTGTTCTAATTAGATTATTCTGACTAGTTACCGACTAGTCGACGATTAGTCTCGAAATGGCACTCCGACGAGTAGTTTTGGGCTTCGGACCAGCGATCAAAAGTCAAAATGGACTAGTCTTTTTACTAGTCGAACGTCTGCATGGGCAATAACGAATTTTTTATTTATCAAAAATATCATATCGATACACCTCATTTTTACTCTACTTAACTAAACTGATGTCCATTTAAGCAACATTTAACTTTCTAAAAAACTACTTTGTTTCGCTGTAACACAAATTGATGTTGACGCTTATTCATTATTATTTTCGCCATATTCTATTCTTTAAATGAAAGATGACGATTATAGACGTCATACTTTTTTTATCCTTTATTTTCTTGACAAACTAATTAAAGGTAGCTAAATAGTCACAGGGATTGAAAAGTAAAAAGAAGAAAAGATAAGGACTACGAAAACTCTCGATTCATCTCCTCTCGTCTTATTAGAATGTGAGTGTGAATAAATGAATGAAAAGAAGAAAAAAAAAATAGTAATGATAGTTCTACAAGCAATAAACAGTGATAAAGATAACATTTACAAACAATCATCAATCTAGAGAATTTTTATTTCCACGACATTGAACAACAGAGTCAATATTTTTTATTTTTCTTCTAAATTGCACTCGGTATCAGGCTATTTTCTCCATAATAATAAGCGGTGAAGAGTTTCCATTTTCATCAATTGCTCTACTACTCGATACTATTAAAATGAGATATTTAAAAAAAATTCAAAAAACAGGGACAACATACATCTTAAAATGTGAATCTTTAATTTTACTTTGTACTACTTAAATAAACAAATATGTATGAGAGAGAACAGTGGTCAAAGTTAATGAAAATCAGCTTTTTTTCTTTTTTGTTGCAAATTACACGTGAACTCGTGTTAACTTTTTCTCATTGCTTGTAGTTTTTGAACAAATAAACCCTATACCCTTCGATGAAGCTTGAAAAAATGATTCTATTCCACTAGTTGATAATCATTTTTACATTTATTATAATAATAAAATGTATTGTTTACTTGGAGCTATATTAATCCGTTGGGTAATTTTAGAATGTATTGAACTACTCATCATCTTTAATAGTGTGAAAATTTCATAGGCTTTCTTTTGGAACAAGGATTTCTTTAAAAAACGGAATTACATGATAGCCAAAAGTAATTTCAAATCTAACTCTATATTTTTACAAAATGTATTCTTTACAAAAAATGGTTTACACGAATAAAAATTTCTCATTACTATTTACGTATTGATAGAGAAGTGTATATAGGAAAAATTCTACTTTAGAACTGTGTACATTAAGTAAATAATTCCTATTCCGTTCCCCAATCAATTCAAACTGTGTTCTCTTTTCATACTTTTTTTTTTTCCTTTCTTCTGAAACTGATCTTCAAGTTTTAAAGAAAAAAAGTCATATATAAGGTGAGTAAAACTCAATGTTACTCTCGAACGTTTCAGGTGCTTTTTAACAACTCTAGAATCAATTCTGACAATCAATTTTATCTTAAAATCAGCCATATATTAACAGTACCTTATGACATACAGAAAGAGAGGTATAAAAAAGAGACATCAATAAATCGCTTTACATATCAATTTGTTCGAACAGATTCTTTTACCTAAAACAGTTCCCATTTTTTGTTGTACCTGATACTAGCAATTCTCATTTACAAATTTATTAATAAACATACTTAAAAATAACAACTTAAATAAGTGAATTGTTCTCGAAGAAAGATTATTCTAGTTGTCCATCTATTGAAAATCGTATTCAAGAACGAATTTTACATTATAATAATTTTTGAAATGTTTAGGATGATTCTTTTTTTTTTTATCAATTCATGTGGATGAAACATAAACTTTTTACTTCTACTCATGGATTTTTAAGTGTGCATAGAGATTTATTACTATACTATGCAAAATTAACAAAATGTCACCAACTATGTTTTGTTTTTTTTCTATTTTTGATTTAGTATGACTTCTTTCAACATCATTATCTATCACCTTTTTAGATACAGTTGTCTCATATTTTTGTTTTTTGTGTCTTATATGTCGATATGACCTATAAACTTTATTTCATATATTTAGTATAGGTTGTTGATGAGGTCGAGTATCAATTGTATCAGCAGTAGAATACATAATCTAACATATACAGTAGTTATTCAACCTTACCTTATCTGTGACCATTGAAGTTCTCTTCCTTCCTTCCTTCGTTTCTTGTATACAAACGACAATGACAACGATAGAATACAAATTTATATTTGTTTTATTTATTATCGTGTGTTATATTATTTAGTTGTTGGATAGTAATGGTGATTTTTCATTTGACAAGTAGATAAAACAATGTAATAAAAACTTACTATTTTTTCACACAAAAGTTCAGAACAACTAGTTCATCAGCAGGTTTCATCGTTCTCTATCGTCATATATAAAGTGAAAATAAAAAATGTGCTGTTATTTCTCTCTAAGGGCATGTTGTTATTTTTTTCTTCTTTCCTCATCTATTTCTAATACCATGTCTATACGGACTATATGAACAGAGAAAAAGTAGTCTATGACAAAAATCACACATGGACTCTGATGCATATTAGTTTTTTTTGCTGTCGTCGTCTCCCTCCCGCATAATCAGTGACCGATGGCACAGATTTCCTTTTTTTTCTCTCTCAAAAAATTTTATATTCCTAATTGATATTTCTTTAAAGAAAATCCTTTACTGTTTTTATGAGTGTCAAACATGAAAGAACATATATTGAAAAGAGAGGGAGAGAGAGAGAGGGAGAGAGGAGAGAGAGAGAGAGGGAGGGGGGAGAGAGAGAAAGAGAATGAAAAAAAGATATGAAATTGTCATAATACTTTTGTGATTATAGTCGCTAGTCCCTAAGTTGGCAACGGTGAGACTTTTCACTATTGAATAGCAAAAAGAAAGAAAAAAAAAGGTGTTAGTCACGTGTTCAGCTGTTTGTTCAATTGTGACAATGAGTCTCAAACATAAATCTGTTTGGACTTTAACATTTTAATGGAAATTAAACAAGAAAGTTAAATTTTTTGAAGCAGTAACTATTTTGTTGTACGTGCAGTGTAAAGTACAAATACTGGCAAAAAATAAAGAAAAAACAATCTCATTTATGATGATTTTGATAAGAACAAAGCGATGACACTCAGTGATCAAAACTTCTTGAAACCTTATGTGGCTTAACATCGTTTTTTCTCCTCAAAGCTAGTGTGAATTTAAGAAAAATTCTTATCATAGTAGTATGGAACGATTTTTCGCCAACAATGTTAACGTTAAAACGGGTGAAAAGCTCTAGGATTACGGTATCGATTGAGATATTCTTCATTCATGTAGAAACTTTTTCCTCTTTTGAATAAATTAAAGTCTTTAGCAAAGAAAAATGGCTTTTTTTCTTTTCCTTCTCGAAACCTAATGTATCTGAGCCGTTTAGAACTAAAATTTAGTGAGATTCAAGCCTATCGACGATCGTGGCTTCGTCGCCTATGAACTAGATGATATGAATTTGAATATTTATGAATATATTTTCAGATGAGCAAGTACCTATAGATCTATAAATAAAATTATAAATCTCTATTCATCTAATTCACTATTTTTTTTTCAAATTTGATACTCAAAAAGACATAATAAATAATTAAAGAAGGTACTTTTAGGTGAGACATATGATGTAATCCTTGTAGAACTTTCCTTTTATGCCATTTATTTTATTTTATGAATCATTAAACAAAAGTAAATACTTGATAGATATATATGTAATATGTATTTTAAGTGTCTGAATATAATGAATCAATATGGATGACAGTGTCAAAGATGAATATTTCGACCAATATTTATGTAATATGAATGGAACATGTTTTTCAAGAATAGTCGAAAATAAAAATTCAATAATCTATAGAAAAAAATCACTTCTTTTTCCTCGACAAATATGATGCACAGATAAACATGTTAAAGTAATAAGTGGGTGACATAGTTTGATGGAATTGGTAAGATACACAATTCAAATTTTTGTAAAATAAAAACAAAAAAATATGTTTCTAAATTATAACAGATGCAAATAATACACGACTGACTATCAATTCATTCATATATAACAGTAATATTTTGGAATCCATTATAGAATTTTTTTATCACATTATTTTACATTTTTTCTCTTTATTTCAATTATCAATTAGAGAATCAGCAAAACAAAAATGCTTGCTTAATGCGTTATCTTAAACTGAACAAATTACTGTTCTAAAGTACAGTAAAAACGTAAATAAACAAAGAAAACAAAATGTTATAGTACAAAAAATAGAAAAAACAAATAATTGGAAGTTTAAATTATAGTTGACATATAAAAATAATATAGCACCGATATTCACCAAAAATAAAGAAAAAGTAATATTATTTGTGGTGGGCTTAATAAAGGTAATGTGACAACATTCACTGACTAGATTTACGCGAATTTGAATAATATTTTTATGTTGAGCAAGTTGATATTTTTCATAATAATAAATAAAAGATATATGCATAGGATGTTAGGCATTGACCAAGTCAGTAAGTAATGGAGAACGTTCGGATACTGGAGAACGTAACGCGGATGCTTCTAAAAAAGTAAACATTATTACAAATATAAATACATTAGTCAATATAATGAATTCTGAATAAGATGAAGTATAAATATTAAATTAAAGATAAACATATCATTCGTTATGAGGGAAACGAGAGATCCTTCTAACTTATTATTGATGAATTCTCCTGCCTTTTATTCGTTTTTCTGATTAAAAATGATCTCTTTTGTAACAATTTATACAAAATCTTGGCTGAAAAGCAATATCTCTTGGAAGAAATCGGCAGGTGTAAACGATTAAAAAGTCTATTTTTATACTGCTATTCGAAAAAGTATCTATAAGAAAGTTTAAGAATAACTTCTGATATCGAAAAAATGTTTTTTGTGCAATAAAATAAAAAATATCTAAATTTTTTCTCTAACGGCACGCATGTCTCCACTTTTTCATAGTATTTGATATTTTCTTGTTAAGCGTGATAATAAACGTTGAAATAATCGACATGTCCAGACACAATTGAGTGATATTGGCACTAAAGTGGATATTTAGGAGAATTTGGCGTGGAGAAAAAAATCCAGTGCAAAGTAGAAAAATCTTTAGATAAATAAAAATAATAGCGATTAATAGCAGCAAGCATGACACATAGACAGATGTGATAAACGATGAGAAAGAGAGAAAGTCTCTCTAGACATACAGAGAAATATATTACCTATTTGTCTATTTCCAATTTTTGATCTCCATATAGTGGCTAATAAAACTATACATAATAGCGCTGCTCCTCCAGGCACAAATGTCAATATTCTACGATAATATAACGGACAAAGTTCTGGAGACGTGCTAAAAAGAACAGAAAATTATACCGTTGCTCATTATATTCAAGTTGATATACGATATCATCAAGCAATACCGGCTAACTTGAATAAAGATGTCAAAGAATTTTCAACAAGAAACAAATAAGAGTGATCATCATGGAAATCATTTTTATAAATAATAGAATTTGTAATATTTTCAGATATTTCATCGTATTTGTTCTATAGATATCAGCAGTTAAATTATCACAAAACATAGAGAAATTAGATATACACGCTTCGGCTGACATCTTTTGTTTCTGTTTTTCTCTAAAGAATGTATTGAGTAGTGTCGAAAAGTTTGAAAGTCTAAAAAATGGTCGCACTAAAATTGATCGACATTTTTTTAATCAAAGAAAAAGTAGAAAAGGTCATGACAAATAATCAAAAAAAAAGAATATAATCAAAGAAGAATGAATATAAGTGAACAGTTTAAAAATTCACTTTTCTATGAAACAAAAAAGAACAGTTATAAACAATAGAGGTTAAACTAATAAACTCTAATTATTAGATTGAAAAGAAATGATAGGAATATATGCAAGGATATCAAGTTTAATAAATACTGTGATGTATCATATGTTTAACGCTTATTTATATTGTTATAAAACGATATATAAACCATCATGGCCAGTACAACATCATTTATTACAAGTAATAAAGATAAATCATTATTAGTTCGTGATAATTACATTTATTATGTTAGTAAAACAACAGCTACAGTTAAATATTAGAAATGTGAAGATCGTAGCTACAATGCCGATGTTCATATAAATGTTAATGAGACATTTAATAAAAATAGTTCGTGATCATTCACATTTACAATCACCTGAAGAAATTGAAGTTCGTACAGTTAAACAAAATTTATAACGTAGAGTTGTAAATGAAACAACAGTAATAAATAAAATTTATGATGAAGAACTAGCTGACCAACAATTATTACAAACAGCAGCTGCTATTATTCCATCATCATATGCAGCAAGTATGTATAAACTTTTATATTCGACTTTGTCAGAATTTCTTGAATTAGACCAATATTTTAACTTCTATTCTTTATAACTGTTCTTTTTTGTCCCATAGCAAAGTGATGATCAATGATGATTTGATTATTTGTCAGGACTCTTTTCTACTTTTTCTTCGATTAAAAAGATTTTTCACCCATTTTTTCTTTCCCCAACAACATCAACTCCACTAAGGTCTTACGATTGTTGCCTTCGAACTTTTCGACCTTACTCAGGCATACCTCCCTAAACCTACATTCACTAATATAGTTGATCATTTATTTAATGATAATACCAGTAGAATAAATATGACGAAACGTGTTAAACCAATGAAAACTATGCTATTTATAAAAAATATTTATAAGGATTTCTACTCTTATTTGTTTCTCATGTCAAGAGAAAGCTAGTAGCCCTACATACCTGCATGGATTGTATTGTTGTATAATTGCTATCGCTGCACCATTTGCAATTTTATCAACAAAACTCATTATTCCATACACAAAGGCACCACTCTCCTAAAATAAAACAAAAACACTCATTGAAGTATAAACTGAAATGTTGAGACATAAAATAAATACATAATTCCTTAAATGATCTCATTATAATCATCCACGAAATATATTATTCTCAAAATTCGATAATGATATCATCAAACCAGACTTGGATACTTTTCTCTTGAAAAATATTCCAAATAAACAAACATTTCTCTTTGTTTATGACTATATATGTGATTTTATCTCGGATACTGAATGTTTTTAAGTGCCTGCCTGAGTTACTGTTTTTTGATACCGAAGCTGATGCATTCCTATTTCATATCTGTACGAATCCATTGGAAGTTGTCTCTCTCTTGCCCAAAGGGTCAGTTGCTCACCACAACTACTCTACTCTTCGACATCTTCTAAAATATTCGTTTCTTTAATCATATTTCTCTGTGACTGATGATCAATCTTTTTCTTCCTCTCTCCAATTTTCTTTCTTTTTATTATTTTGTATGTCTGTTATTATCTTCCCTAATCATCTGCTCTTTAAGCCTCTTTTGCAAATTGATATAATGTAATCAATTGGATCGCAATTTCGATTTGTATTAAGATTTTCTTCATTTTTAAATAAAGTTTATACCAAATACATAATAAACCTATGAAGAAATTTTGGACCTCCACAGATCCTTTTAATCTATTAAAAAGTTCTCATAAATTAGTTTCCCGCGACAAAATAAGGTATTCGACCGTGTAAAAGAGAAAATTTTGCTCGCCTAATACGTATGAACACATTAGAAGAATAAAAATCACAGGTCGAAAATATTGCTCGAAGGTTTATCATGCATTAAATGAGCATCTGACATCCAAAATATGTCCGAACGCATTATTTTGTCTAAAAATGCAAAAAACTAAGCCTTCGGAGGTCTTAGAGTGTGTCAAAAGAAGAATTTGAAGGTCTTAAAAGCCGAAAAAACTTTTTTAATGCCTGTGAAGGTCCAAAATTTCTTCTTGGGAACACTTTGAAATAGTACACTGCAAGAGTACCTGTGTTGCACATCAAGCAAGTTTCTCTACACGTGAACAATCGTGGGCTTAATTCCACTAACGAATATCAACCATATATCAACACGGGCCGGGCCACAAAATTCTATAGAGTGATCAGACCGGGCCGAGCCTGGGTCGCAGTATTTTGGTCGGGGCGGATCGGATTGAACTCAAAATTTTTAAGCATGCGTGGATTTGTAATTTATGTGTATACTCAGTATCGAGAAAGAGTATTACCACTGTTACGCGACATCTTAATGACTTCGTTTAGCTAAGGTCTTTAAAGATTCAAAAATGAAGACCAAGAAATCATAAAGATATAAATATTAACTTGAGAACTACATTTACACCACTTAGCCAGCAAAAGCATTACAGATACAAGAAAAACATCACGTCTGAGACCAGAAAATTTTAAAAAGTGGTCGAGCTGGGTGAGAAAGTTTTAGGATCAGTCGGCCCGGGCCAGATAAATTCCATGTTTGGTCAGGCCGAGTCGAGCTTGATCCAGAAACTTTCATCATCGGGCCGGACCAAAAGTTTTCGGCTCGTGCGGATCTCTGGTGTCGACACGTAAATTCAAATTCGCTGATACGTTTTTTTATTGATCGACGGAGTTACATCAACAGACAAATTTTATCTACTACTGTCAATTCGTGGACAGAAGAAAAACTGTTCGCCGAAATAACGTTCACTATCCAATTCTTAAAATTTTCATAGAAGATGTTACTGCTGAGATAGTTGACGTTCACGATCTCTGTGAAACTAATTTTATTTTACGGATTAGTGCAAAAGACAGTTTGTGCTAGCTGATAAAATTGAATCTAATTCAGGTACATACCGTATTATGTGCGATAAGATCTGATGCTAATGCTCCAGATGTGATTACTGTTGTAGATGTTGCTATACCAAGTAATACTGCTGCAAATAAAATTGTAACAGGAAATGGTATACCCCATTTATGGAATGTAAATATAAACCAGAAGAGAAAAGCAGTTAAAACTTCTAATATTAAACCAAATAACATTGTCGCTTTTCGACCAATACGCCTGTTCACGTAGCGCATGGCTAATGAGGTGAAAAACCCACTCACATATAAGCACAATGGTGCCACAGCGATATAAGTCTAAACAAAGAACAGAAAAATGCCACGAATTAGTTTTATTAATGTTCCATGTAGCTTGGAAGAACTATACTATCCATATCAAATATCTGAAATCTTTCGAGTTTGAAGGCACTTTTGTGCATTGACATAATTGCAGTTTATTATTATTGTTGCTTTGTTTCGATGTTCGTTTTCTGTGAGTTATTTAGTCACGAATACTTGATTCAGGAGCATTCTTTTCTTTCTTTATTTCTATATGAGTTTGTCTTAGACAGTATATGTTAGAATTAGTTTGCAGTAGCAATATAGTCTAAGAACTTGTTCCTGAGACAATACAACTTCAAAGACCGTTCGAAATTTCGATGTTTCGAAACGGTTGTTGTAGTCACTTGTCTAATGAACTGTTAACATCTTAGTTTAGTGTTAAGTGTATGTAAGTAATTACTAACAAGATTGGTTTCTATATTAAATATCTGTTTTGTTTTCTCGTATAAATGGTTCACAAATGAAGAATTTTGTAAGTAATTGTAAATACCTTGTTTAGTTTGGCAACTGTGTCGATAATATATAATGGTAAATAAACTTGTGACGTATTTAAAATAACTCTTGTACACATCCAAATGAATGCAACTTGATAAAATTGTCGTTCTCTCAAAAAATCTCTCCAAGTCATTCTAACGACGAGTGATTGAGTAAGTGAAAGTGATTGTGATAAGTCCCACTGCGATTCTCTTGGACGTTCACGCGCACCAATATGGAAGAAGATTGCACACGATATACCAAATCCCATAACAATAAATGTCAAATGCTAATTAGAAAAAAAAGCATATAAAACTTAGCTATAAAATTTCAAATGAGAATACACTGTTGTTTGTTTATGTTTGAAGACTAAGATAAAGTGATTTTGCCTTTTATGTCTTACATGATATTATTTTTCATTAAAATTTAGCAAGCAGGAAAACTCCTTACTTGAAACACGTGTGCATCCTGCCTTGATATATCATTTGTTTCAGCACCAGTAGTTGCAGATATTCCTAACAGCAACCATGTGCATCCGTAAACAAATATATTCGATATAACTGTCCAAGCATATCTAAAATGACAAAGTAAACAAGTGGTACAAGAAGATGACACTAAATTTTTTTCCAATTTAGTATTGATTAATATTTAACTGGCATATATATAACTTAAGATAAAATGACAACTCACGTAAGATGATGGCTGAGATAATCAAGGATACTTTTTTATCATAGCCGTTACCTGTATGAATTTAGTTGCACTCTTTCGCCATCAACATGTGTTAATTCATTGATCATTGATAAATGAGCGATTTGAGAACATGCCCATCCAAATTGAAATATAACAATGAATGAAGCATAATAAATGAACTGGGCCCAATAAGCGGAATTAGAACACTGAATGCATAAATTAAAACAAAACGGAAATGAACACACAACACACAACACACCTAAAACATGTACATAAAGAAAATTGAATTAAAAGAAAATAATTGAAACGCTCGTTCAATTGAAATTATTCATTATATACTATGAAGATGATATTATACGAGAAAAACAATGCGGAGTTTTCCAGGAAAATGTTAGCTAGATAGTATGTTTTCTTTACCAATGATATGCCATGATTTTCTTCGTCCGTAATTAAAAAGTCCCGTTGTAGTGCGATCAGATTCTATTCCAACGAATGTTGTTGATATGGCGTCTAAAATGTAAGAAACGTACAAGATAGATACACTATGTTGTTCCAATTACATCGACAAGTAATCATCAGAATTATAATTGCTGTCACTTTTATGAACTTCAAATCAAATTTGACCTAATAAACTCGAATAAACGCAGTCCGTGGCGAAGAGAAAAAGCAAATGTAATGTAAGTTTTTGAGACCATGGTTAAAACTTTTAAGAGAATATGTTTTTTCTTTACTGCTTGCTGGTATAATCTTTTGCATAAGCTTCGACCTCAAAAGATCGGAAAAAATCTTTTGATTCCAACACAACAATAGAGCAAAATTATAAAGCAGGTCGCCACGGGACTGAATAAGCACACCCCACAAAATTCAAATAAGAACGATGTCTTTTTTCCATTGATTTATTTAGTTTACCTGCCACTTGTCCGATCAGTAGAAGATATCCTGCTGATGAATTAGAAAATTGAACAACTCGATGATAAAACACTAATAAATAACTAAACCATATTGATGCACATAAATCATTGAGTACATGACCAACACTGTAGGCAAATTTACGGTAAGGACGAACGATATCGGCATCCATTGAAACGAAGAAAAAATAAAGAAAAAAACAAAAAATCTAAAACAGAAAAATAAAGTTTATAAACCGTTTTAAAGAATTTGGGACGCCTTGCAATAGATGGTATAACCATGTATGCATCGAGCTGAAAAAATAGCAAATAGTAATAAATTCATTTGTAAACTAAACAAATCTGAATCGAATATATCCGTGTTTATAGTGCTTCTTAACTCTCGAACGAGAGAATCAAACAGAAAGATAAATCTAAAAAAACCACGTTTAACATTGATGTAGATAATATTTTATATTAGAAGGTCTATGTGTGAATACTGCAACATACGATTCTAAAAATTCTATTGTTCATCACTTCGTTAGCTCATTCTGTGGAATCCTTGTAAAGAAAAAAGATAATATATTGACATTATTCTATTTCATTTCGACTCATTATTTACACAAGGTAACCCAGATATGACGCCGTTATTATGACAAAAAACGTTGCATTTACAGAGTACACAGCAGTGCACAGATGTGAAATTATATGCCAATAAACGTATTTTGAAAAGACACAAGTGTCGATTTTTCTAAAATTTTTGGTGTTCGTTAGGCGTTGCTATACTCAGTTCGACGAGCTCTATCGTTTGGCTAACTCAGATTTTAATTTGATGATGTTCGCGTCTTTTAGAAATACCCGCAATTATATGTGATCATAGGCTCATCCTTGAACAGGGAGGAAGAATGGAAAAATTTTGAAGTTATTTTGACTATGAATAAATTTTCGCAGCTATATGTAAGCGAGGGCGTGACGCGAAACGGTGATTTAAGGATTAGTAGATTAAGTAGATTTCTTACCGGTACTTCTACAGATAAAGCACACCCTCTACTGTAGGTGTATGTAAAAGTGAAAGTGAGGGTTATGGGTTACTTGTGTATCAACTGTCTCTTCCAATCTGTCACTTCGTCATAAATATTTTCGACTGGTACAGTTTTTCAAGATTTATCATCGCCTTAATCCTCTTTCTTCTTTTTATAATGTTCTTTGTCCTTATTATTCTTCTTTACATTGGCATCATTCCAAATATGTTCGTATTCCACCTCCTGTAAACGGCTTTTCCCCACAAACAGTTTCGTCTTCCTTCTTTCATTCAACTGTCACTGACTGAAATAATCTTCCAGAATCAGTTATTCGTTCTTCTTCGTTTTTGTCATTTAAAATAGCTTTATCTCAGCATCTTTGTTTCGTACACTAGTTTACTGCTTTTATTTTTATTTTTCTATTTATAGATTCTTTTATTGTTGTTTGGCTCGAGTCATTGTTTTATAGGTCGGGGAACTTTGATGACTCTCACTTTTCGTGAATAAATTATCCACTCATTCATTCAGAAAGGGTGTGCTCAGTCTCTAAAAGTGCCTCTTCTTCATTTATATCGATAGAAAATGAGGCTATATGATGAAAATATTTACACCACCTTTATTTAGATTAAATACAGCTGAGTATGGCCACACACTTCTCGAAGCATACAATAGATAGTGAACTGTGTTTGTCTGCTTTTATTTACTTATTCATTTTGTTTTTCATCTGATGGCGGTGAATCATAGAAGGAGAAAGATTTTGATTTACTTATTTGATTGTCCAACAGAATTTGTTCATGCACTGTCATGCGAAAAGCCGTTAAAAAAAATAAAAGAGACCACTAGCAGACAAGCACACATTGCCGTTGTTCAGACAAATAAAAGAAGCTATAGGTTACTGCTTCTATTCTAATCGGTAATGTAAATAGTAGAGTACACTGAATTATCTGTTAGTTCAGGGAGTAACTTTTTTTCGTAGCGTATAGAGATCATCCCGATTTCGGTGATATATCAGTAGATGTAACCTTATTGAAACATGAAATCTGTTATTTTCTTTAGTTTGTCCGAATATTTGTTACGCAGAGAGGATGGTCCGCATGCATATCATCAAATTGCATCTCGACCGGGTCTGTCCCTAAACAGGTTGCAAAAAGATTGCAACCCGTATGCGCCCATGGGTTTTCCCGGTCCCTGACGATCTCTGTAGCGTATACTGTGATTGCACACTTCGATAATGCAGTCTTAAAATTGCTGATGGACTCATGAAATGAGTCCATCAATCGAGCATTTATACAAGAGCTGCCATGTACTAAAAATCGCATAAAAATCGGCAATTAATCGTGCGCTTAATTGCGATTAATTGCCGATTTTTTTCTAGGTATCAGGTTCGAACCCATCTTAGGAAATACATATTTTTTGTTTTTTCATTGTTAATTATGTATAATGACATATACGTCACCCACCAACGGTCGTAACACCAGTTGATGTCGGAGCCTTTTCAACGAGTCGATTTTAGACATTGCTCATATACTAGCTGTTTACTGGGCTCCTCGGCTTAAACCTGTGAGCGACCATAGAGAAGACTCTTGACAACTCTGTTTTAATCTAAAATAAAAAGATGATCTAAATAGAAGTGTATTTCTCGTTGAAATCGTGTTTCTTATATACATACTTTACTGCAAAAATATGTAATACAGAATTTCTATCGCACTCTCTAAAATCCAAATTTTATACAAACAAACAGTTTGTTTGAAACATTAAAAAAAAATCCCTTTAACTTCTCTTCTCTGGTATAGGACTATCAAAAAGCATTGGTAATTTTTAAACTAATTTTCTAGAGACGAATCTCAAAACGAACGCCATCAAGTTATAATCAAAATACTACAATGCATACTGAATATTATGAAATTTTAAGGTTTCTGCTACTTATTAAAGCATGCATTTTAGTATTTTGATTATAACTTGATGAGGCTCGTTTTGAGATTCGTCTCTAGAAAATTAGTTTAAAAATTACCAGTGCTTTTTGATGGTCCTATACCAGAGAAGAGAGGTTAAGGAATTTTTTTTTAATGTTTCAAACAAACTTTTTGTTTTTATCAAATTTGGATTTTAGAGAGTACGATAGAAATTCTGTATTACATGCATCTTGTATAATCCTAATAATCTTGTGCTTAATTACAGAATTTTTGGAGAAAAACACGATCGCTAAAAGACTCGTAAAATAATATACGGTTTTTAGCGATGGCAGCTCTGTCGCACATTAATCCCACTCATAGTCTATTACGGATTCGAGACCTGCACATGTTAAGAAAAAAATGGCGTAAAAAGTTTCCCACATCGTCTATTTTTATAGAAAACCGTCGGTTAACCGCGGTTCTTCAAATAACCGCCAGCTGACCGCGGTTTGCTATAAACCGTCAATTAATCGCGGTTAACCGCCGGTATTTTTAATATCGCGGTTTGGAAACTTAACTGCTAATCACTGTAGAGTCCGAAATGAGTTTTCAAAAAATTTAAATTTATCAAAAATCGAAAAAATTTAGGACGTTTATAAACCGGGTCGAGATCTATAAACCAGGTCGAGATTTATAAACCGGGTCGATGTTTATAAACCAGGTCGAGATTTATAAATCAGGTCGAGATTTATAAACCAGGTCGAAATTTATATGTTCATGGTATATTTAACAAAATTAAGCATCATCTAAAGATTTTCTTTACATTTAAAAGATTGATTATTCAAGATTTGATATAGGGGTACTCGATAAGAATGATATTTGTATCTAGTCACACCGTTTTCGTCACGTGTACGCCATATGCATTGTGAAAATGGAAATGTCCTCAAATCACGTTTATTTATTTCTTCTTGCGTTCTATCATACGCTCTTTCT